AAAACAGTAGACATCAACAGGACAAAACAGTAGACATCACCAGGACACAACAGTAGACATCACCAGGACATATTAGTAGACATCGCCAGGACACAACAGTAGACATCACCAGGACACGACAGTAGACATCACCAGGACATAACAGTAGACATCACCAGGACATAACATAAAGACATCACCAGGACAAAACAGTAGACATCACCAGGACACAGCATATAGACATCACACCAGGACAAAACATATAGACATCACCAGGACACAACAGAAGACATCAACAGGACACAACATATAGACATCACCAGGACAAAACATATAGACATCACCAGGACACGACATTAAGACATCACTAGAACATAACATATAGACATCACCAGGACACGACATAAAGACATCACCAGGACACAACATATAGACATCCCCAGGACACAACAGTAGACATCACCAGGACAAAACAGTAGACATCACCAGGACACAACCTATAGACATCACCAGGACATAACATATAGACATCACCAGGACACAGCATATAGACAGTAGACATCAACAGGACAAAACACCAGCCATCCCCAGGACACAGCATAAAGACACCACCAGGACACAACATAAAGATATCACCAGGACACAACATTAGACATTACCAGGACACAACAGTAAACATCACCAAGACACAACAGAGGACACGACAGAAGACATCACGAGGACACAACAGTAGACCTCACCAGGACACAGCATAAAGACATCACCAGGACACAACATATAGATATCACCAGGACACAACAGTAGACATTACCAGGACACAACAGTAGACATCACCAGGACACAACAGTAGACATCACCAGGACAAAACAGAAGACATCACCAGGACATAGCATATAGACATCCCCAGGACAAAACAGTAGACATCAACAGGACAAAACAGTAGACATCACCAGGACAAAACAGAAGACATCACCAGGACATAGCATATAGACATCACCAGGACAAAACAGTAGACATCAACAGGACAAACCAGTAGACATCACCAGGACAAAACAGAAGACATCAACAGGACAAAACAGTAGACATCCCCAGGACAAAACATATAGACATCACCAGGACACGACATTAAGACATCGCCAGGACATAACATATAGACATCACCAGGACACAACAGTAGACATTACCAGGACATAACATATAGATATCCCCAAGACACAACAGTAGACATCACCAGGACATAACAGTAGACATCACCAGGACAAAACAGTAGACATCAACAGGACAAAACAGTAGACATCACCAGGACACAGCATATAGACATCACCAGAACACAACATATAGACATCACCAAGACACGACATAAAGACATCACCAGGACAAAACATATAGACATCATCAGGACATAACATATAGACATCACCAGGAACAGTAGACATCAACAGGAAGGACACGACAGTAGACATCACCAGGACACAACATATAGACATCACCAGGACACAACAGTAGACATCACCAGGACATAACAGTAGACATCACCAGGACACAGCATAAAGACATCACCAGGACACAACATGTAGATATCACCAGGACACAACAGTTGACATCACCAGGACACAACAGTTAGACATCACCAGGACACAACATATAGACATCACCAGGACACAACAGTAGACATCACCAGGACACGACATAAACACATCACCAGGTCACAACAGTTAGACATCACCAGGACACAGCATATAGACATCACCAGGACACAACATATAGACATCAACAGGACACAACAGTAGACATAAACAGGACACGACATAAACACATCACCAAGACACAGCATATAGCCATCACCAGGACACAACATATATACATCACCAGGACACAACAGAAGACAACACCAGGACACAACATATATACATCACCAGGACACAACATATATACATCACCAGGACACAACATATAGCCATCACCAGGACACAGCATCTAGACATCACCAGGACACGACAGCAACATATAGACATCACCAGGACACGACATAAAGACATCACCAGGATACAACATATAGACATCACCAGGACACGACATAAAGACATCACCAAGACACAGCATATAGACATCACCAGGACACAGCATATAGACATCACCAGGACACGACATAAAGACATCACCAGGACGCAAAATATAGACATCACCAGGACACGACATAAAGATATCACCAGGACATAACATATAGACATCACCAGGACACGACATAAAGACATCACCAGGACACAACATATAGAGATCACCAGGACATAACATATAGACATCACCAGGACACAACAGAAGACATTACCAGGACATAACATATAGATACCACCAGGACACAACAGTAGACATCACCAGGACATAACAGTAGACATCACCAGGACACAACAGTAGACATCACCAGGACACGACATAAAGATATCACCAGGACATAACATATAGACATCACCAGGACACGACATTAAGACATCACCAGGACATAACATATAGACATCACCACGTATAGACATCACCAGGACACAACATTAGACATCACCAGGACACAACATATAGACATTACCAGGACACAACAGTAGACATCACCAGAACACAACATATAGACATCACCAGGAAACAACAGAAGACATCACCAGGACACAACAGTAGACATTACCAGGACATAACATATAGATACCCCCAGGACACAACAGTAGACATCACCAGGACACGACATAAAGACATCACCAGGACACAACAGTTAGACATCACCAGGACACAACATATAGACATCACCAGTACACAACATTAGACATCACCAGGACACAACGTATAGACATCACCAGGACACAACATATAGACATCACCAGGACACAACATATAGACATCACCAGGACACAACATATAGACATCACCAGGACACAAAAGTAGACATCACCAGGACACAACATATATACATCACCAGGACACAGCATATAGACATCACCAGGACACAACAGTAGACATCACCAGGACACGACAATAGACATCCCCAGGACATAACAGTAGACATCACCAGGACAAAACAGTAGACATCAACAGGACAAAACAGTAGACATCACCAGGACACAACCTATAGACATCACCAGGACACAACATAAAGACATCACCAGGACACGACAATAGACATCCCCAGGACATAACAGTAGACATCACCAGGACAAAACATATAGTCATCACCAGGACACAACATATAGACATCATCAGGACACAAAAGTAGACATCACCAGGACAAAACATATAGTCATCACCAGGACACAACATATAGCCATCACCAGGACACAACATATAGACATCGCCAGGACACAACAGTAGACATCACCAGAACACAACATATAGACATCACCAGGACACAAAAGAAGACATCACCAGGACACAACATATAGACATCCCCAGGACACGACAGAAGACATCACCAGGACACACCAGTAGACATCCCCAGGACACAACAGATAGACATCCCCAGGACACAACAGTAGACATCACCAGAACACGACAGAAGACATCACCAGGACATACCAGGACACGACATAAAGACATCACCAAGACACAGCATATAGACATCACCAGGACACAAAAGTAGTCATCACCAGGACACAACATATATACATCACCAGGACACAGCACATAGACATCACCAGGACACAACAGTAGCCATCACCAGGACACAACAGTAGACATCCCCAAGACACAACAGTAGACATCCCCAGGACACAACATATAGACATCCCCAGGACACGACAGAAGACATCACCAGGACATAACATATAGCCATCCCCAGGACACAACAGTAGACATCACCAAGACACGACAGAAGACATCACCAGGACACGACAGAAGACACCACCAGGACACAACAGTAGACATCACCAGAACACGACAGAAGACATCACCAGGACATAACATATAGCCATCCCCAGGACACAACAGTAGACATCACCAAGACACGACAGAAGACATCCCCAGGACACGACAGTAGACATCACCAAGACACGACAGTAAACATCACCAGGACACAACAGATAGACACCACCAGGACACAACAGTAGACATCACCTGGACACAACATATAGACATCCCCAGGACACAAAAGTAGGCATCCCCAGGACACAACATATATACATCACCAGGACACAGCATATAGTCATCCCCAAGACACGACAGAAGACATCACCAGGACAACATATAGACATCACCAGTACACAACATTAGACATCACAAGGACACAACGTATAGACATCACCAGGACGCAACATATATACATCACCAGGACACAACATATAGACATCCCCAGGACACAAAAGTAGGCATCCCCAGGACACAACATATATACATCACCAGGACACAAAATATAGACATCACCAGGACACAACATAGAGACATCACCAGGACACAAAAGTAGACGTCACCAGGACACAACATATATACATCACTAGGACACAGCATATAGACATCACCAGGGGACAACAGATAGACATCACCAGGACACAACAGTAGCCATCACCAGGACACAACAGTAGACATCCCCAAGACACAACAGTAGACATCCCCAGGACACAGCATTTAGACATCACCAGGACCCAACAGTAGACATCACCAGGACACGACAATAGACATCACCAGGACATAACAGGACACAACATATAGACATCACCAGGCCACAACAGTAGATATCACCAGGACACGACAGAAGACATCAACAGGACACAACAGTAGACATCACCAGGACAAAACAGTAGACATCAACAGGACAAAACAGAAGACATCACCAGGACATCGCATATAGACATCACCAGGACAAAACAGTAGACATCAACAGGACAAAACAGAAGACATCACCAGGACATAACAGTAGACATGACCAGGACATAACATATAGACATCACCAGGACATAACAGTAGACTTCACCAGGACACGACAATAGACATCACCAGGACATAATATAGACATCACCAGGACACGACATATAGACATCACCAGACATCACCAGGACATAACATAAAGACATCACCAGGACACGACAGTAGACATCCCCAGGACACGACAGAAGTCATCCCCAGGACACGACAGTAGACATCACCAGGACACAACAGATAGACATCACCAAGACTCCGAGATAGACATCACCAGGACACAACAGATAGACATCACCAATACTCAGAGATAGACATCGCTAGGAGAAAATGTAGCCACACCACGACGCTTTCTCGTTGTAGACAAAGAACTGGATACACTTATAAACTCAGTGTAAATGATGTTGCTATGGAAACTAGGCATTACTATGGAAATCTAATTAATTTGCTTCGGACGATAATGGTTTGGGTTTCAGAACGACTGATGATTGCTGCAAATTACCATTTCGTGTATATGGTTTAAAAACAATAGAGCACGTATTCAAAGTCGGGAACTAAAACCGATTTCTTGTATTCTCGGTCAGGTCATTTTAATCCTCTGTATTTTTAACAGGGTTGACCTAGTGTAATTTTATACATGTGTAACTGTGTTTGTGAGTGTGATTGTGCATTTTACTTGAACGCCTGGCACACAAGCCTATCTGTATCATGGGAGACTATCATCATAGCAATTGGATTTATATTTTTACTTTAAATGGTTGAAATAGAATATCGACTCTAATTCACTCCTTGATGGTCACCTGTTGAGCATTGAAAAAGACACACATTAGGTAAGTACACTATACATTTGTAATATGTCCTATGAAACATTGTTGATGTATATCGATTTTAAACCGCCTTTTTCCTAACTGACTTGGCGAATTACATTCTCAGAATGGTACAATCTTATTATTTCTTTGTCAATTTTGAAACAAACAAAGTAAATTCGACCGTCAAAGCGGATATAATTTCTCTTTGTATAGTTATATGTAGTACAAACATTTAAATAAGCTTTGTAGGTTCATGTAAGTCACTCAGGAAAGTGTTTATGTGTGACTTTCAGGCAAGTTAAACCTGTACTTCTAAATTGGTTAAAAAACATTTAAGACTTATTTTGAACATAAGTGTCATTGATGGGTCCTAAGCGGACGAGACATCAATATAGTGCTGTTGAAATGCTTACTTTGTATGGCTTTCTGCTTAGAGAAACCAAATTTATATATATGTGCTTTTTTGTTATATTCTAGATATTGTGGATAGTGTTATTAGCCTCTCATATAATGGTCGATTTACACGCATTAAGTTTTTGTGTATATCATATCTATGTAGTGAAGAATTGTTTCGTAATTTGTATCCAAAGTTTTTATATAGTAGTCGACCTTCATTTGGACCGTCTGTTTCTAGGATCATTCATATATCGAGAATCTCCTGTCCAAAGCCCCGGCCGTGATGGCTCCGCATAAATCAACACTTGTATTGCTCTATTGTAACATATGAACATAGTGTTTAGACCTACAGATAAAGCTATATCCTGCAGCGTTGATATCACGGTTCCTTACATTAACAGACGTGTTTTAGTGTTGTTTTCTAGCTGGTTCTTTGCATAGTATAAATGTGATTCGTTTTAATTGTTATGCATCTATGTACTCATTATGTCTGAGTGTTGTTATAAGTTGCTTGAATTGTAATCACTCATTGTGACCATTATCCTGTATACAATGTGTATAACTAGATTATTTCAGCCAGGGCTGATATGCTCAAAGCACAATAAGCTTAATGGGTTCCGGTCACACATTTTCAAACTGTTTTTTCAGAAACATTTTGTGAATAAAAACAGTTTTCGTCACACGAGCTTTGGATGATCGACCTGCATTCCTACTCAAATAATTATAGTGACAATTTTCAGTACATTTTGTATAAATATTTGATAAAAAATTACACTAACTTATCGTTTAGATAACCAGGCCTATAAAACTGAAAATAAGGATTATTCTTCATGTTGAGTTGTTTAATCCAGTCTTACTAATTGTCATTGTAGTAGTCGCCATCGTGTATACTGTGTTTAACCCTTTCTCCACTGTAGACCATAATGAACTCGTCAATATCAATGCAGGGTAGAGTCTACTAAATTTACATAGGGGGTGAAAGGGTTAACCTTTACACATGTACTTAATGCAGTAAAACCGAGAACATCGGTTTGGTTCCTTTTATTCAGATGTCATCGTAATCTCAGTTGTTTCTTTTTGTATCGACAGAATTTTCTCTGGTATGTTGACACCATAGTGTACACATTTCTTTTGTTTGAAATTGATTTTTAACGAAAGATCAGACTATTTAGTTGTTTTACCAACGGGATTAACCTGAGTTCTCCGTTTCATCCAATTGTATAAATACAGTAAAACCTCTTTTTACTTCCACCATTTTTACAGAGAAACTTTGGTGTTATCAAAGTTTGAAACAAACCATTGTGTTTTAACAAGGTCGAATAAAACGTTATATTAACAGGGTCTATTTGATAAAACAATTACGTCTTTGTCTTTTTCGATCGATTACTTGTTTCTGTCAAAGTTAATAGAATAACGAACTGACCTTTTCAAACGTATGTACATGTAATTGAGAATTATAATCCAATATTTTTCAATCAGCTGACTGCTCAATGTAACCGAAATATACTTTGTATTTTTAAGTACTGTTTTTATAAGCTCAAAACCTTATTTACTCCATTCCATTTTCATTCCAAAGAGTTTTGTTGATTATGCAAATTATGTTTTGCCGCGATAAATACACCATCAGTTAGTAACACAGTTGTGTATTTATCATTTTGTCCATCTCGTGCCTTCGATATCTGTATGCTAACAAAAGTGAGTATCTCGTAATTATAGTCCGTTGAATTTAAAACCTGCTGCTGCATTCAAACCCTCTATGATTACATTCGTTTGATAATAGTGACAGGGCAGAAATGAGTCCATATTTCTTACGTTAATATCCCCATTCATCCGGTATGAAGTGAGACATACATGTTGTAATACACCAGCACACCACTATCTGAAATATGACACCATCCTATTGAATGCACCTCCCAGATACACCTAATACACCTTTATCCTTTCGTCACCTGGTAATCATCAAAAACTCAGTCTAACAATATTCGCATTCACTACGGACTAAGTATTTAAAAACTCATATCAGGTATCAAGCTGTAAATATAATTTCTGTTTTAGATGAAGTGATTAAGATTGATACAATCTGCTTTAGGAGCCAATAGCTTCTCCTTGATCACGTATGGTTAGTTTTATTCAAGATGTATGCTGTTAAGTTACACGTGAAATAACACGTCAAATATCAGTTTCGTTTATTATCGCATACTTAAATCACAAAGTACTCTATCGTTGATAGTTAACTAGCATTTTGATGATTTAGCTTTTAACTTGAAGTAAATATGTCCTGATACACATATATAGTTGATNATTGTCTCCCCCTAAACCTTTTTTTTTTTTTTTTTTTAAATGATTTATCTTTTTACTTTAAGTAAACATGTCTTGATACGTATATACGGTTGATTACCTCTAACTGTTTACCATCTTCTTTACTAACAAAAAAATATCATGTTTACATATCGCGGTTATTTAAACATTTAAATAATATTATCACAGTAGCTCACGGGAAGTATATTATTTTTATATGATATAATATAGTTTTTATTACATCTACTGTATTAAATATTTTTCTCAAAGTATTGTCATTTTGAGAATAAAAATGCATCTATTTTCAGAAATATAGGGCAGGTGTCGCGATATAAGTACTGAATTCAGAATACATGTACTTTGTTTTATATGTCTTGTTTCACATTGTAATATAATCACATATACATGTGTATGTCGGTAGATTACTTAAATTACATTGTAATATAATATCATGTATTACTGTTGATTACTTGTAATACAATGAAATATAATCAATATGTCAGTACTCGGTAACATAATCACATAATCAATTATTGGAGAATACCATAAATTACTTTGTAAAATTGTAATATAATGTATATATAACGGAATACTGCCCGAATTACACTGTAGCATAACCACACATTATTGTAGATTACTAAGTCTATAGGTGAATTTGTAACGTTGTAATATAATATATATATATTACAGAATTTGCCCGTATTACACTATATCATAATCACATATTATTATAAATTACTACAGGTTACTTTGTAACGTTGTAATATAATCATATATGTAGCTGAAGATTATCCGTATTACACTGTAACATAATCATTTACACTGCTTTAGATTATGGACGGATTGGTCGGGTGGTTGACATTCAGAGAAAGTGTTTCTCCTGCCCACACAACTCAAACAACACTGGATGTTGCGGTATCTGTGCTGTAGCATTAAAGTGAGGGGTCACTATAAATGATACCATTGGAAGCACGGTTCCACTACAAGCAGAACACAATACAACTCCAGCACACATGCGGGCATACACACATAGGGAGAAACATGTATTAGCCAGGTGACAAAGGATTAGTAGTTAGCACCGGACAAGATAGCTCCTGCGAATTCATCAAAATTGTATTGATTAATGTATATGCTAATTGTATTGATTGTATAAATTGTATATCTATGTACTGTAAAGCGCTTTAGAGTGGCCTATTCTAGCTAAATAGGGCGCTGTATCAAATGTTGTATATTACTATTAGTTGTATAATTTCGATGAACGACCATTTTGTACCGCTTTAGGAACAATGCACGAGTAACTCGACGTGTATACGTGTATCTTATAAACCAGTTATATATACATGTTTACATTATAGTTATATCTGATGTATTTATACTCAAACGTGTTAATCACTCCCATTGCTGTTTATCACTATGGAAAGAGAAGTGTAACACATACAATTTACAGTCGAAATCACTCCAACTAACGTTTGTCATAAGGTTAGGCGCAAATATGGCGGACAAGCAAATCCCCTGGGAGTAATGTTTAGGGTTTACTGATCAATTTAGGTTGTTATTTCTTGCAGCATTTTGTCCGAAAAAAAAGTGTAAGGCGTCTCACGAAGCCTATCATTGGATATAACAACAACATTATTCATGCATTCATCAACTCTTGTCCAACACCTGAACACAGGAGTGTCACAGAATTATGTCGCATTGTTAGTACCCTTCGAATATCTAATCGTGTATTTTTGCTACTGTCCGTGCCATGTACAGCAGGCTTTCAATGCAATTATACAATAGTCATACCATGTTCACTTTTATGATTTGACATACGACACGGATCACAAGTTATGTGATATCAAATACGGATAGAAAACTAAAATATTTGTTAGATGCAACATTTTCTGACCACTATGGCCACCGGAAGTGCAAGCCTATTACTGCCAACAAATTTGAATGGAAGATGTTTGTTTTATCTGTGTCCCC